AAAGCTGTCCCTCACTGTCTAAAGAGGGCCACGGAGCACAAAGCCGAGACCTTCCTCAGGCCAATGAGAAGAGGCAGCACTGGCCCTGCCAGTACCACCCACCACTCCAGGCCCTCCCTGGACCCCAGGAGAAAAGTGAGACCAAGACCTCCCGCAGCTCGCTCCCCACTGGTCAGCCCTGTGGGGGTGCAGTGTTGATGGGGATGTGGGGTGCTTCCTCCACAAAAGGCAGGAGAGGGCCCTGAAAACCCCACTTGTAGGGACTGGAAGTGTCTGCAGAGAGGTGAGACCACCTGCAGGACCTGCCACTGGGGTCACCAGTGGGACAGGTAGACCTACGTCCCCAGGGGCACAGAGGCTGGCCCTGCCTCTGGACTCCAGGTCTCAGGGGCTGCCAGAGCTGACTGTGCCCACAGGAACGTGGGGTGCAGGGCAAGGAGGTCCACCTTGCTTCCCTCTGGCATTTGAAGAATGACAGACCTTCCAAAGCCTGTGGCCTCTACACTTGGAGAGTGGGAGGAGGGGTCTGGTGCTGGAGGGGGCCTGAGCCAGTAGACCTGTGTGCAAAGAAACCTTGGCCATTGTCCCTCTGGCAAAAACTTGCAGAAGAGCCAGCCTGGGTGCCTTTCCAGTCTCTTCCCAGAAGGGGACCACTAGTTATGTCAAAAGATCTCTGCCTTCCTAAGGCCACCACCCTACTCCCACCTAGGAGGAAGAAGTTGAAGGTGGTGGGGAGCACAGGGCTCACGCTGGTCGCACTGCCCCCTGGAGGTTGCAAAGGGAAACGTTACAGAGAGCACATGCTCTTTGTCCTGGAAACCTCACCACCATCCAGCTGGGGGTCAGTCCTGTTCTGAGTGGTGAATCAGAGAGGGTGAGATTTAAAACACACGTGAGTTTGGTCTTTCAGACAGGATTAGGGTGAATTTTGATAACCAAAAGTATCCAGAACGTTCTGGGATTTATTTGAGATTGATTGATGGATTGGCTCGTTCATTTATTCATTCACCAAATGTGTCCCTAATGCCTTCTGGGTGCCAGCCACTGATCTTGCAGAGAGCGACACAGAGTAAGCCCTTGGACAGTGTAGTGGGGGAGACAGACAGATACAAGCAAACACATCTACCCAGCCCCCCAAACACCAACCTCATTGTCACCGTGCCAGCTCCCACTCACAGAGACCTTAGAGGGCAGGGTGGAACCGCCCCTGTGGGTTTCTGAGACTGTAACTCTGTATGGGAGTAGAAAGCCTCTTCTTGCTCCCATGGAGTGGGAGGTGGCTTCAAACTGCTGACCTACAACTAGCAGTACAAACGAATAACCCACTACGCTCTAGCTGGTGGCAGTAAGTGCTCTGAATGGTGGGGAGGCACCGATCTGTTGTAAAGAATGAATAAAAATGGCCCGATACATTTCAAGATATCTCCCTTTCTGTCCCTAATTTGTTGGCCATCTGTGGTCTGTTCCTGGCCTCAGGTGAGGTTCTGTGAGGGCACTCGGAGTGCTAGAGAAATGTGGCAGGGCACCAGGCAGTGGCATTTGATTAACGGTGACATTTGAAGGTGACATTATCAGGAAGGGGTGAAAAGGGGAGATTCCAAAACACTTTTATTTTTTCCTGAAAGAAGAAAATACTTAGGCCTGTCACCTGCTGAATTCAATCATTCCACCATGCCAGTGTACCAGGTCCCTGGGGGCCCTGAGCCTGCAGGGGGTGGCATTTCTTTCCCTTGCATGGAGTCTGCCTTGCCTCTTTGCCTGGCTAGCACTTACCCACTTAGCCCCTCAGGCCAGACACCCCTTCCTGGAACCCCTAGACTCAGTTTCCTCATCTCTGAAAGGG